ACTCTAATGAAGGTATTCATTTATATATGAATATCATTTACTTATTGATAGATGAAAATCATCATATATGAAACCAAAATGTAATATAAATATACGTTTAAAAATTACTTTTTAAAGACAACACTTCTAATGAATCCAGTGTCTCCAATGTTAAAGGTGCAAAATGAATTTCTCGTTCTATTTTTAATATTAAAAAACCTTATTTTTCATTTTTTTTATATATAAAATTTTTTTCCTAAAATTAATTATTCTGTCAATTGATTCATGCATTGCCTCTGACTTCACACAAGTGTGCAAAATTTCAGGTCAATTGGACAGGTAAAAGTGTGTCAAATATCAGTTATAAGATTTGCAGCTGACAAAATAATTTTTCATTTTTTTTAATTTAAAAAATGTAATTTTTATTTTTATCATTTATTTTGTCATTTGATTCTAGCATTGTCTCCAACTTTACGCAAGTGTGCAACATTTCAAATCGATAGGATAAGTAGAAGTGTGTTAAATTTTTATTAAAATATTTGTAGCAGACAGACAGACAGACAGACAAACAAGAAGTGAAGTTAAAGAGAAGTGTTGTAAAAAAGATGAATACGCAGTCGAGCCGCTTGAACTTCAATCCTTACCAAAGTCATGTTTCTTGTGAACAAGAATAAACATATATGCAAAGAAATGAGCATTTGAGACTAATTCATGCAAATTTTATTCATCGAACAAAATTAATTGATAACTAACAATTAACAGAAATTCTTAAAAAATTATGACTTGAATTAATAAATTATTGAAAATACCCGCAACTGCATCTATAGGCACTGCTGCATCAGCACCGACTGACACTTCAACCACACCAGTTGTCACTCCACACGAAAATGCTGCCCTGCACCAGGAGCGTCTCCGAGTCTCCCTCCTCCTGAACTGATCATTGAGGCTCGTTACCGTGTCACCCCAACCCAGCACCACTGAGCACACACGACTTCCGAGCGCACACAATGAGGGGGTAACTCAGCCAAAATGAGCCCACAACAACACCTCGTTTACAAGCAGTCAATGTACAAGAAATGGGCTACTAAATATGCAAAGATATAGACAACATAGTATATTACAACAAAATAGAATCATAATATAATCCTTTGGTCAAATAATGACAAGTGAGAGTTGATTTAAGATAGAATAACTCGAGGATAACTACTCGCGAGCGCCTGAGTTGATACCAGTTCGTCAATAGACTAGACAAATGAATATTGACTAAGCATTATCAAATATAATGAGAAGTAACATCACCTAATAAAATCATATTAGTAAAGAGTTTAACATTTGGACGACATGACTATAAGTTATAATTGACTTCTTATAAATCATCTACCTCCAAGATGTCTAGCTTCCTTACGCAAGATGGTCATCTTTACTTAACGATTGTATCGTCTATTAACAACTATAAATCACTACGATTATCGCAAAAGATAAAGTCCTTCGGCAAAATAATGGCACATTAAAGCGAATAAATCTTAGTCAAGTAATATTTTACGATTAACATGTCATAGAGTAAGTCTAAACGTGTCGAGGCTAGCAGACGACGCATGGCGTCTAGCAGACAATTGCACGCAACGCTACAGACAGATGATATCACAACAAAGGAGATTCCTAGTTTCAGTCTCGAAATAAAAATATGCTCACACATTGTTTAGTCACAAATAAATTAAACCCTTTAGTTAACAAAATAATAATATCACAGTTAGATGAGATTCCTCGTTGCAGTCACAAAATAAATGTTACAACAATTGACTAGTCACTAACCTAGCACAGGATTAATCGAACGTACAAGTAAACAAAAAAAATATACCACGGAATAAGCATCCCGTCATACGGCCCCCTACTCAAGCGTCAAGCGCCCTCGCTTGATAAATAGCACGCTCCCTGATCCGGTCTGATACCGCGCTCAGCGCAGAGATGTTTGGGGTCTGAGTTCGCTGATCCCGTAGTCCCCGCACCGCCAAAACGATGCATCGCCGTCGCTGCCGAGCCTTCTCCTCATCACTTAATTTTGGGTTAACCGAGGGGATCCCAAACGTTGACGAAAAATCAGGAGCGTCAGTTTGCGATCCTACACTCGCTGTTTCTTTAGTACAGTCAATGGGAAGCAACTTCCAAGGTCCGTACGAGACCGGCTCGCTGAGACGCTCCACCTCCATCAGCTCCATCTCAACCGAGTTCTTCTCCACTTCCATCACCTCCACATCCACCGGGTTCTTTTCCACCTCCACCACGTCTACATCCATCGGGCTCACCGCCCCCACGGTCCTTCTTTGCTGACACGCCTCTGCCATCTTCTCGAGGTTTCGGCTGATCCTGGCGAGAGCCCTTTCTTCCTCCCGCCGTCTTCTCCGTTCCTCATCATGCACTTTGTCTGCTTCAGAACCCTCCTTCCCTCTACTAGACCCGGAAACGTTCTCTCTTCGTCCCTTCACTCTCTTCTTTCTGGGTTTATTCTCTTTTTCATTATCCTCGGGACCGAAGAGCTCTTCAAATCGTTTCTTCAACTTCGCCTTCCTCTTGGCGCTCCTAGGGCTCCGTAACAATAACTCCTCTTCCTCGGCCGTCACCTGTACATCCATCAAATCCTGCTCCGTTCCAAGGAGTGAGCTCTCTGAAAGCGCACTCATTACTGCTAACAAAACTTGGACTAAATGAACAAAATTTTACCTGAAACGAACGGGGAGACGAAGATTAGCACGCGACCTTAGATTATACATTGACTCGACTTCCGAAGTAGAGCTACTCGATAACTCCCCTCCAGACGTCTCAACCCCCGAACTATCCAATTTGCCCGTTATAACTAACCCCGAATTTCCTTTCTTCCTTTCGTCCTCCTGTGAAGAACCGCTATCCTCAGGAGTCGAAGTTATTGGTGGCACATACCGCTTTACGCGGTTTTTGTGAATAAGATACGGCCTCCCATCTACTTCAAGTGTCACAACGGCACCGTGATCAGAGATTACCCTGAACGGGCCCTTCCACAAGCTTCCCAGTGACTTCTTCTTCGCGGGTGGGGACGCCATCCAGAGCAGTTCCCCATTTTCGTAGTTACTTTTCTTAGCATTTTTGTCGTACTGTCTTCGCTGTTTCTCTTGAGATTTCTCGGTGTTTTTCCAAGCCTTGTTGATGTTCTGTTGAGTCCGATCGAATAGATCACGAGCGTACCCGAACTGACAAGGGTAATCAGCAGCAGACACCCCCAGCTCGCGATCCAGTGCGATGCGAGGTCGACGACCAAACATCAATTCATAGGGCGTGAAGCCAGTCGTCTCATTCAAGGTCAAATTGTAAGCCAACGACAGTGACCCAATCACCATATCCCATGGTTGATCCTCTTGCAGGTTTAAACGGAAGAGGTTTCTGAGGGTCCGATGGATTCTCTCATTGGTCCCGTTAGTCTGAGGATGCCACGATGTCGTCTGACGTTTCTCGATTCCCCACCCTGCACACCAATCCGTGAATAGCTTCGACTGGAACGGAGTCCCACGATCTGTCAGTAATGCTTCCGGGACCCCCAGCGGATAGATGGTTTGTTGCATAAGGCCGCACACGATGCTCTCGGTATTCGCTTGTTTCATAGGGATGGCCACAAGGTACTTCGTAAAGTGGTCCACTACGGTGAGGACATAGGTGTTGCCCGAGGGCGTCTCTTCCAAAGGTCCCATTACATCCAGCGTCATCAGTTCCCAGGGCCTGGACGAACGGACGGAAACCATAGGTTCACGATTCTGGGCTCCGTAGTTTTTGTTCGCCTGACAGACGGAACAAGTTGCACACACCTTTGAAGCCAATTTATAGTCCACCGGACAGAAAAATCTTTCTCGGAACTGATGCAAGAGCCGATCCCGTCCCAAGTGTGCTTCGCAAGCTGGGTCAGCATGCAGCCGAATCATCACTTTGGCCGCTTCTTTGGGGAACATCAAGCGCCTTTCGCCGCACTGCCAACCAAGGCCATCTTCGTTTCGCTGCAGATTCACCTTAGCTAGTGCTTTTAAGAAGGGCTCATCTGAACTCTTGAGTTTGCCCTGTTCCCCTTCTGCATTTTCTAACATTCTTTTGAGATCTTCGTCACTTGGCCCATGCGCTATTCGTCCCAAGACTGCGACATCGTCTTCTACTTCATTACTTAATTCATCGCTTTCAGCGGTCGGCAGTCTCGACAACCCATCAGCGTGAGAGATTTTAGTTCCCGGCCGGTAGCGAACAACAAAGTCATATTCTGACAGGGCCATTGACCATCGACTCATCATTGAGGATTTATCCTTGGTGTTTTGCAAGTACTGCAAGGAATAATGATCCGTTTCCACAATAAACCGTCTGCCCAGCAGGTAGTGACGGAATTTTTTTACTCCATAGACCAAGGCCAGACATTCCTTTTTAGTGACACTATAGTCCTTTTGTGCAGGGTTTAGGGATTTACTTGCAAAGGCCACAGGTCTTTCTACACCGCTGTCATCTTTCTGTGAAAGAACCGCTCCCATACCTTCCGAGGAGGCATCTGTGCACAAGATGAATTCCCGTTCGAAGTCTGGATGGCGAACGACAGAGGTCGACGCCAACGCTTTCTTCAAGCATCTGAACGCGTTGTCACACGCTTCGGTCCAATGGAACGTCTTAGCCTTGCTGGTTAATTGATGCAATGGCGACGCGATCTGAGCGAAGCCCTTGACAAAACGCCTGTAGTATGAACACAGGCCGAGAAAACTTCGGACCTGCTTTGGAGTTCTTGGTGTCGGGATCTCCTGGATTGATCTTATTTTATCCGGATCAACGGCGACGCCATCGCTGGAGACGATATGCCCCAAAAATTTGATCTTCTTTTTGGCGAGAACACATTTCGAAGGCTTTAGCTTCAGGTTCGCCTCCCGAATGCGGCCAAGTACCAGCGCCAATCGATTCAAGTGCTCACCCCAGGTTTTTCCGAAGACGATGACATCGTCCAGGAATACCAAGCAGTCCACCCAAGTTGAGAGTTAACTAACTATTAACGCCATCAACAGCTAACTAAATGTTAATAGCGTAGATTCTAAACTGCACTTTATACGAACACTTATTTAATATTGCACAATTTAAAGAGCTTATAATACTTGATTAAACTTTTATTATTTTCTAAAACTTACAGTCTAAAACGTATGAAATAATATTCTAAAAAATCTCAAAAACAATGATAATAGTCTCCAATTGATTAGTTTAGGACACTTGACCTCCATATTCAACAATATAACCGACGAAATCACTAAGCCTCTGTTCTCCCATAATAATTCTGACGTATCTTACATGTGTTTAATATCTCTGTTGGTATCCAATTCACGGATAAATTTCATGATATCGTTTTTCCAAATGCGGCCACCAACATCAACATCTAAGTTTTCTCTCGCATAACTTTTATAATTATTGATGATCTTTGCCTTGAAGCTGATTATTGCTGATGGTTCTGGGTTCTGGATGTTTGCTCTATTAGCTCCATTAATTCCTCCATTTCCAGATTGAGCGTATCCGCGATCTCCTCTATGTACCAATTCTATGAACTTGTCTTTTGCTCTAAAAAAAAGGGCGTATTGTCGTAAACACTCAAGATAAATGGAATATCCTTCCCTACCACCAGCTCCTCCTTCACCACCTTTGCCCATTGTTCCATCACTGCCATTGTTATTAAAACTTGATATCCCTGCATCGTTACCCAGCGTAATTAACATAACATCTCCTGATTTACCTCCGTATCCATTTCGTCCACCATCCCCACCATCTCCACCTGGTGTGCCGTCTTTACCGTGAATATCAATCTCAAACATTTCGTCGTTGTAAAATAATGTTGGAACTCGAACAAAACCATACACTTTACAGTAGAAGCCTTTCGCTGTAACCCCCAAATAACATAATTGAAAGTCGTTCAAGGATGTTCCATGACATTCACCACTTCCAAAACAGAGTGAGTCGCAAAAATAATTATTATCATAACTATTATAGTATTTCATATCACTACTAGGAGAATCACCATCGCTACCGGGTCCACCATTCCCACCATCCTGACCAAGCCCCCCATGTCCACCATTAGCCACAATATTCAACCTATTTCCATTCAAGAATGTTGTGCCTACGCCAAAGAAACTCCCAGCTGGTCCTCCGGGCAAGCCAGGCCTACCGTCAGCTCCCCGCCCCCCGTCCCCCTCGCCGTCACTTGCCTTAGGTGGATTATGTGGCGGAGCGTCAGCCCCACTCAAGTTTATTGTTCTACGACCTATTACCTCCCATGTCGGGGCTATCATTACGAGCTTCAGCTTTTCCCCTATTTTATTTAGGTTTTTGTCAATAAATATTTTGTTCAGAGCAAATATTTCTGTTGTGTTGCGTTTGCAATTCCCAATTTCCACGATTGCTTCACTAAGTCTTATGTAACCTCCTTTGATTGTGAGTTTATTTGATTGACATGAGACATGGAATTTGTTCAACGTCAAACTCGCCACTTGTCTCAAATCCTCAACTCGTATATCATCAGCCTCTATATTTTTTATTTTATTATATCCCATCACATTGAACGTTCTCATATTTTCCATAAATTGCTTGAAGTTATGTCGCGTTATTGATATTCCCTGCTGTTTATTATTTTGTCCCCAGTCCGCAATGTTTGCGACGTTGTATTTAATTCTATTTTTTTGTACGTTATATGTAGATAACTTTTCATACAAATTGGTCAAGAATTCGTACCATCCTTGTGATTCCTTGAGATACGTTGCTGCTTCATTGAGTGGAGTTATTAATTGAGATGGTGATGGGGTATATAGCGTTTCATTGCTTATTATTTGTAAAAATATTAAATACTTTCCATGTCTCCAAACATTGTTTGCGTCACTGCTTATTTTAAAGGTATCATCATCTGAAACACCCTCTCGAAGTTTTCTTGACAAATCTTGTGTTGTATTTGAACGTTTCATCTTTTTCGTCATGTTCATGATGAAAGCATGTCCAAAGTTTATTTCAGCTTGTAATAGCTGAAATATCATGGAACGCATTTTACTTTGGTAATATTCTTTAATTTTTGCTGCGATATTAGATATGTTAGTTTGCATTTGCTCGATAATTTTCCCTGTAACATCATTGATATCCTGCTGAATATCGTCCTTGAAGTCCAAGAGGTAGGTTTCAACGGGCTGCAACAAGTGACCCCATGTCCTAGTACCTAATAAGTTGTGGCTCACAACCCTCAGAAATGCAAAATATTCCCCTTGCTTCGAAATACTCTGAATAGCCTCTGCACACCCATCAATGCCTAAGGCAGTTACGCTATTGCTAATCTTCTTCGCCAACTGGTCTGCAGGTACATTTTTAACTTCATGTATTAGGTTTGATGTACGCATATGGCCATCATTTAGACGCTTTTTAAAGGATCGAGCTTCTGATGGATTTGCAACATCGGCATCAGTAATTGTAATAAATGAGTGTATCTTCCTCTTCATTGTTTCCACTAACTCGTAGTAATACTCCTGCATGTGTTGAGCAACATTACGGAGATTTGACCAAACACGGTCGAGTATTCCATCCTCGAGTGCCCTGATATCAAGCTTAGCCTTCTCAGATATTGTATGGCCAAAATCACCATCATTGGTCGCAGTGAACTCAAGGTTTTCGTTCAATATTTTTTCTATATGTTTCTTCCCCTTCTGTAAAAGGCTACTATTACTCAAAGGGCCTGGCTCGTCTGGCCTACGGAAGATGCCTATCCTCGANTTTCAGACGCACTACCAAAATAGGGCAATGTGCAATAAATAATTTTCTTACTATCGCATTCAGTCACAGTTTCAGAAAATTTGTTAGATAAGAAGCGTTTGATTATACTTAACACAAGGCACGATGGAAAACCATTAAGCTGAAATATATTACGAATGAATGCGAATTCCAAATGCATATCATGGAAGGTAGAACAAACCGTATAGCCGCGGTATATCAAAGTTTGAAGACTATTCAATTTGAAACGAAACGAGCAGAAGCTAAAGAAGCTCATACCCAAGCCGGTAAATGTCGGTTTTCGATACATGAAAGTCTGAAACGACCGCCAGACTTAGACACGTTACAATCGAGAAACGACAAGCAATTGTTTGGATTTAAATTCCATAGTGAATTTTATTGAAGAATGTTTGAGGTTAAGATAATCAAAGAGAAGGACCGCATGAGAGGGATGCTTGAAGATCAGAAAGGCATTGTAGCGCAATAACTACGCTCCATATACAAAGTTACTGGGTCTCTGCCCGCGGGCCCTAGCGCACGAGGATTAAACAGACTTGATCAGCGAAGTTTCATAGGCCACAACGTATATTTGAATTACATAGAGAAACCACAGGGACGACGATAGACTTTAAACTAAATGCAAGTAGGTTCACGAATGCAGATAATTTAGCGACATCATATACAGATATGTACAGACATTATAAGGTGGTAAGTCAGGCAAAGGTAGGCTGCCTACTCCTATCAGTTGCTTCTCGAGAACACTATCTATTCTTACTTTTTCTCCTTAGTCTGTGTCAGAGAGGTGCGGCGGCTGAATAAAACTAACAGCGTTTTAAGCGCGGCCAAAGCTGGCCCGCTACAGCATCATCAATATACCTATTATAAAAAATCGGTTTAAAATCAATGGGACAATCGGCCAACCAAGAAACCTCATGAAAGCACATGAAAATGTTAACGAGTGTGGGACCAAGGGGAAGGCCCATTCCTAAACCACCAACTTGCTTATAAAGTTTACCAGCGAAAGTGAAAAAAGAGTTCATGACTGATAATTCCCGAATCTTTTTGAAAAGACTGCGGTTAAGGCCGATCACCAGATCATTCGCAATTTTCGCATCCTTAAACAAAGAGTTGAGGCAGATTTCAATAGTTTCTGTAAGAGGAATATTAGTGAATAAATTTTCCACATCGAACGAAGCCATAGTCAGGTGCTGAACATCTGTAAAATCTTCCAAACGGCCGACAAATGGGTACGTATTAGCAACAGTAAACTGGTTAGTAGTTAGACAATTCAAAATGTGAACTAAAAATTTAGCTATGTTAAAGCTCGGGGTATTATACGCAGCAGAAATTGGACGGGATTGAAATTTCGAAGCGAAATCAGGCTTATGAATTTTAGGAAGGCCGTACAATATGCTAGGGCACGAACCAATATCGTGAAATTTAGAAAAAGTTTCAGAGGCAAGGGCGGAGGTATCTTTAAGTTTACGAATGAAGTTATTAATTTGATCATCAATTTTTAAAATGGTTTTAGAGATAGGGCTAATGATTTCCACGAATTTTGAAGGATCAGAGATGAGAGCAAGCATACAGCTGGTGTATCGGTATACATCAGTGGTGCATACTGCGCGGCGGTGGTGCGTCATTGGTACATCAGTGGTGCATACTGCGCGACGGTGGTGCGTCATTGGTGCATCAGTGGTGCATACTGCGCGGCGGTGGTGCGTCATTGGTGCATCAGTGGTGCATACTGCGCGGCGGTGGTGCGTCATTGATGCATCAGTGGTGCATACTGCGCAACGGTGGTGCGTCATTGATGCATCAGTGGTGCATACTGCGCGGCAGTGGTGCGTCATTGATGCATCAGTGGTGCATACTGCGCGGCAGTGGTGCGTCATTGATGCATCAGTGGTGCACACTGCGCGGCGGTGGTGCGTCATTGATGCATCAGTGGTGCACACTGCGCGGCAGTGGTGCGTCATTGATGCATCAGTGGTGCACACTGCGCGGCGGTGGTGCGTCATTGATGCATCAGTGGTGCATACTGCGCGGCGGTGGTGCGTCATTGATACATCAGTGGTGCATACTGCGCGGCAGTGGTGCGTCATTGATACATCAGTGGTGCACACTGCGCGGCAGTGGTGCGTCATTGATACATCAGTGGTGCACACTGCGCGGCGGTGGTGCGTCATTGGTGCATCAGTGGTGCATACTGCGCGGCGGTGGTGCGTCATTGATGCATCAGTGGTGCATACTGCGCGGCGGTGGTGCGTCATTGATGCATCAGTGGTGCATACTGCGCGGCGGTGGTGCGTCATTGGTGCATCAGTGGTGCATACTGCGCAGCGGTGGTGCGTCATTGATGCATCAGTGGTGCATACTGCGCAGCGGTGGTGCGTCATTGGTGCATCAGTACCGGATCCTGCGCGTCGATTGCGCGTCATTCGATGGTGCGAGCTGTAAGAGCTTTATCACATCTTATCTTTTATTGAATTATGCTATTTATTGATTTCTAATAACTCCGTTGACGTAACATTGAGCTCGCAATTTGAAACACTGCAAATCGCGAATCGCTGCATTACTATTAAGAATTCAAATTTATTAATCACTCCAAGAAAGTTTGCTGTATTTTTGTGTCAGACGAGCTTGTAAGATTTTCCATATGTTTCTCTCAGGCACATAAGATCTGGACCCTCTAGTAGACCCCGGAGCTACAGAGCGCAGGCAAATTCATTCTATAGCCAAGACTGGCAATAGATTGTACAGTAATTTGGTTGGTTATTAATTATTAATCTTTGTATGTTTTTGAATATGATCTTCAATATTGTTTATAACTTATCTCACTTTACAAACTATGCACTCAATCTTAACATGCTTGGGAACAAAGATTTCTATCCGTTAAAAGCTTGTATCTCAGATCTGTCATCTCATGCACTCTGATCACGTGTCGGGCGAGGTGGAGGTGCTTGAAGGCGTTCATTTACAAGACACTCAACGAGGTCACGACTGAAGCGATCAGGTGTGGCGCTTAATGTCAAGGAGAGGCAACACTGGCCCCTCTGTAGTGGCAACATGCAAGCTTAATTCTGCAAGTGTCTGATGTCTTATGCGTGTTGATTATGCTGGCTGCCCTGAGTTTAGTGAGAGTGCAATTAACTGCACAATATATTTGTAGGATGGCGGCATTTAGTTCACTCAGGACACAATTAGCGGTACAAGAGTTTGTTAGGATACTGGAAATGAGCTCACCTAGGACACTATAAATAGTACAGCTAATAGCATTAGTCTCATTTCAATGACTTCTTTGAAACCTTATTATGGAAATAGTCGTTTTTAGGTCAGTTTAGAGATACTGACGGGCTCCTAGAGTTGCCTAATGCATTCTAATGAATGTTCTGACATGACTGCAATATAATTATGAGAAAACAACAGGTTCATGTTATGAGAGAGTAACACGTACGTGTTATTAGAGAGAGTAAAATAGCCCAGGTAACCAGCAAATCATGGCAACTGAAGAGCTTGACAGAGACAGAATATTGTTATGATGTTCCATGCATGGCGGAGACAGAATATTGTTTTGATGTTGCGTGCGTGGCGGTGACAGAATATTGTTTTGATGTTGCGTGCATGGCGGTGACAGAATATTGTTTTGATGTTGCGTGCATGGCGGTGACAGAATATTGTCATATGTTACGTGCATGGTGGAGACAGAATATTGTTTTGATGTTGCGTGTATGACAGCGACAGAATATTGTCATATGTTGCATGCTTGAAGGAGACAGAATACTGTTTTATGTTGCGTTCCTCATAAGGCACAGCCGGGTAGGAATGGATAAAAGATTATATGCAAAGATTTATGAATCGGGCAATTTTGGGAAGCATCTTGATAATACTACAAGACCCAAGACCCTTGAAATCTAAGCGTTTTTTGAAGTTAAAAAAAAATAGAAAGCAAGTTACAAAGGGATTTATTCAAAATGACCCGACTATATCCGCTAGGCCTCGATTCAATATACTTCAAGAGATGGGAGCTGAAATTTAAAATTTAGTGCAAAAAATAAGCAACATTTTACGGCCAGCTGTGATCATGAATAGGCAAGCATGAAGACTACACAGGAATGGAATGTTCTCATAATAGGGCATGACTAATTTCACTATTTCTATTTGTGTTACCACATATTTTCTCTCGTTTATATGTCAGAAAAATATTTCTCGAATTATTACCAAAGATCTTGATATTCAATGAACAATTTTAGTTCATAATGACAGCACCGCAAAGGAGATGTTTTGTTCTCAACTGAAAATCGTCGTTGTGCGCATATTTGCGTCAACTCAGGAGCAGAGCGAGAGGCTCTTATGCGCATTGAGCCGCCGTCAATACACAAGTTTACTGCAGAAATTCATGAAACTAAAACGAATCAAAATTCACGAACACACTCAAGAAACATATTCATTTGTTTACATTATTGTAGTTAATATATGTTCAGCGACTTTCATACGTAATGTGATCTTAGTATCAACAGTAAATTTACACGTCTTCACCATTTACACACTCGTTCAACACGTTGACTACGTATTGGTACATATGCGTATCACGAAATGTATTTCTCAAGGAGGTAGCGGTACATAATTCAGGTTGCCTAAAATCGGCCAAATCCGGAAACAAAAAAGGCCAAAAAAGGCCGATAATTCAATGTATACTAGTTTATTTGAAGGTTCCGCTATGAAAATTCCATTTATTTTCTTTTTGCAGTATTTAAAATTTAATAGGAAGTACCCCTATCATAAATTTTAGCCGGCCAACGCAATTGAGAAAAAGTAAATCACGGAATTTGTCCGGTAAAAATGACCGTCTGGCAACCCTGCTCAAAAAAAGTAAAAAAATGAAATAATAGTACAAGATGAAACAATCGCAGTCAACGTGTTAAGTTAGTCACTGACGTCTTCACATGCTTAGATGATAGGAAATAATATTGAAATGAATTACGGCGCTCTAATA